CGGACTAAGGGCGGCTTAAGGAGGCCGAGGCTATATATAAGCGGGCGCTATAAGGCTAAGAAAAAGCTTTAGGTAACGACGGTATCTTTATATACGTCCCCTTCTTAAATACTGCTACGAACCTAGGATGTCTCTATGCTAATATTAGACGAAAGGCTTAAGCGAAAGAGTTATATATACTAGCTCTTAAAGGTTTTAGAAAGATCCTTAGTAAATATAGCGCTTAGGTTAAAACGCTTAAATATCGTCTAGCCGGTCTCTCTAACTAAATATTATTATTTTATAGAGCCGATAGTTACGTATTCGCGGAACTAATATTAGTAAATTAAATTAGTAGTGCCTTATAGAACTAATAGCTGGCTTAGTTAGTTTTATACTTATACCTCGAACTGTCCCTCGATATAGACTATATAATTAACTGAAGGTTTATATTATATAGATATTAAATTAATCTTCGTTTATACGATAAGGGAGGATATTACTTATGCTCCTAACCTAAGTAAGCCGAGAAGGTGCTACCCTAGAAAAGCGGTTTCTAAAGATACGATCTACTACCCTTAATACTATAAGGCTTAAACTACGTATCGAGAGACGACTACTAGATAATATTAGGAAACTCTCGAAGGAAATTAATATAGTATTACCCGGTAAATATACTCGAGAACTATACGATAACCTTTCTTAGATAGAGGCGAGTATACTAGCCTAACTCCGGACTAGTATAGTGAGACTAAACGCTTTACTTTTCCGAATTAGAGTAGTATCTTCCGCTTAATATATATATAGATATACGAGTAAGACAGTAGAGTACTTCGTCCTCCGATATATACGATAGGTAATATAGTACGCTAAGATACTCCTACGCTCCGATATATAAAGAGATAATATTTCCTTCTATCTAGGGGGGAAAATAATATCCGATAGCGACGACTAGAAGCTAAATATAAAAGTAGTCTGAGTTACGATACGCTTTACGAAGGCTACGGGCCGACTAGAGAATGCGTAATCCCTAGTAGAGGGCCTAATACGCTAAAATACTAACCCCGACTAACCTAACTAATACCTATACCTCGTACTAATAATAGTAGGCGCTACTTTAGTCGCCGTAGATAGGACTCTAAATACTTAAAGAATAGCCTTTAAGTAGCTTACTAATAAGACCTAAACCCTACGAGAAACCGGCGGAGAGATAGAAGACGAAGAAGTAAGAGCGGAAAGAGGACTTTATATAGGCTTAGGAGATTTAGATAGACTATAGGAAGCGACTATATATAATAGTAAATAGTACCTTATTAGCCCTAGGCTACTAGGCGTAATAAACTTATATATATATATATATATAGCTAAAGTAAATATAAATTTATCTTAGTCCCTATTTACGGTTTAAGCGCCTACTAGTTTATAGCATAGACTATTATTTAGTCCGCTTCCTCTTCTTCGCCTTGCCTTCGTCGACTTTACCTTCTACGGTACTCCCTACCTTTATATTAGGGACTTATTCCTTCCCCTCGTTACTATAGTAATTATAGTATTTGTGACGGTACTAGCTATGAGACGAACTATTACGGTCCGCTTACGCTCCTATCTCTTGTATTAGGCGCTCTGCGAGGTCCTTGTTTTCGGCTTAGAGCTCCCGAAGTTACTGCCCTAAAGCCCTGTTCTAGCTAATGAGCTCGGCCGGTGTAGTACTAATTTCTCCGTCGAATAGACCGCTAGCGATATCTAGAGCTTCAGCGTACTCGGCTTCGAGAGAGCGAAATTATAACTTAAGTAATTCGTGCTCGATATAATCAGCGGCTAGCTAGTTATTCTTTACGGTCGTCTCCCCTAAGGCGGACTCGAGTTATACGATATATATCTTCTTTATCTCTAATACTACCTCGACCGCTTAATTAACTGATCTATATTCGGCTAACTCCTTTTCCGCGCTATCGAGCTAGGCGTAAATCTCGCGTACTCGAATAATTTCGTTATTCTGTATTTTAATAGTCTCTTAGAGCTTATATATAGCTATATTATTTAACTGGCTTTCCTTCCTCTGTTCTTCGAGTTCGGCTCTTATATTTTCGAGCTCTTTTATAACCTTTTAGAGGTCTCGGGCCCTCTTCTGGGCCTCTTTCTATAGCTCGCTATAGCTGCTCGATTAGCGAGCGTTTAGGTTATTATACTGTTACTATAGAATATAGGACCGCTCTAGGTTCTCCTTCTACGTAGCGTCGCGATATATGTCTAGCGTCCTGTGCGCCTTATTAAACTACTGAATTAAGGACTAGAGGTCGTAGTCTAGCCGTCCGGCTAGGTTATTACTGCTCGACCCGCTGTTACCGGTGAAGGACTAGGATATTAGTAGAAAGACTGGAAACCTATAGACGAGACTACTTACTACGTTTACGAAGCGGCTATCCTTAATCGCTTAGCTTTATAGTGCTATTGCGGCGGAGTGGCCTGCCTCTATCTAGGCGGACTGGTTATGCGTTATAGTGAAGGATGAAGAAAAGTACTAGCGGTCTAGTCGAGTATAGGGTGGTCTAGTCTACGTATCTATATTTATTTATCTTAATTATATTCTATACCCGTTTATATTTAAATTTACCGACGTATAGGAGTAGTAAGTACGTTAAGGATCTGAGCCTGATTCTCGGCCCTGCCCGTCTAGTATACGGTTAAGAGTAACTAGCTAGGGGTAACTGACCGTTTTACGTAATAGCGTAATAAGGATAGAAACAGGTCCCTACTATGCTAATAGTATAAAGCCGTTCTAGATAGGACTACGACTATAAGATGCTATGCGCGTATTATATAGTATATATTGCTACGTAGTTGCGAAGACGCTCTTAGTAAGCTATAGACCCCGTTACCTAGTACGCCCTAGTAATTAAGGGACCTCTTTCGATATCTATCGTAGTGAGCTTAGCCTTGCTTACGTTTAACGCTTTATAATACCTGACCTATAGTAACCTCCTATATTATCTCTCGTAGAAAACTATCTCTCGCTTAGTACGCCTTCTTAGGCGAATTACCTAGCTTCGTCTTATACTCGCTATTCTCTTTATTACCGCTAATGCCGTACTACTAGCCGTCGGTGTTTATAACGTTTTAGGCTTCGTCCGGCGGTTAGGCGTTTTATCCGTAGTTAATATAGTACCGCTATTTCTAGGAACTTAGATGAATGTAATTGCGAGTGGCTATGGGCTAAGTTTACGGGCTCTTATTACTCTATATCGCTAGCTCGGCATTATGGCTATCGTCCAAGGTCTCACCTATACCGCCGTAGCGCTATCGACTAAGTTATCTACTAACGTAGGGAAGTTCAGCGATACTTCGGGTATTATAGTGAGTAGGTATAGGCAAGTATTAACGGGGGGCGGACCGAAGAGTGATGCTGAGGTATATCTAGGTTGCGAGTATTATAGTCGCCTTCCCTTTAACTAGCATTATTCGACGACGCATATATGAAATGTTTGCCGCCGTCCACTTTGGCCTCGCCGTATGCGCTAGTGTCTTCGTCTATCTCTATAACCCTACGTCGGACGTACTAGATGCGCCTAAGAGATATATCGTGGTAGCCGGCGGCTGTCTAGGTCTCGGGTAGCTTATACGGCTCGGTATAATAGTGTACCGTAATGTATAGCTCGGCGCGCCTTCGAGTCGGGTTACTGTGCGCGCTATCACGTTCGAGCTAGGAGAAATAAGTATACCGGTCGAAGATACTATGTACATCCACGTCCGACTGCCAAGGCTATGGAATATTCGTGCCGGATAGTACGTCTACCTAACTATGCTAGCGGTTAGTTATATAGCCGTGGTCTAGTCTTATCCATTTTATATTATATAGTGGTATCGTATTAACGACGACGATTATATCGTTCTTATTATATAGAAGCGGCAGGGCTTTATATAGAAAATCTTTTATATAAAGGATAATAAGCTTACTAATAATTACCGCTCTAGAGCGTTCATAGATAGACCCTACGGTTAAGAGGTGAACCTCGA